TTCCAAAGTGCAATTTTTGCAAGCCCTTCTTCCCCCCACTCCTTCCCTCCTTTGCTTTTTTCCTCGCGGCTTCGGGAAGTCTGTTTATGTATTTATGTACGTAATTAAAATAGAATGGGAGCTGTAGACCCTGGCAAATTAGAAACCGCTCTGTTTTTATGGATGGATATTGGTAGACTGGTGCCTTGGCCTCTTTCTTGGTCTCGTTGGCATATCTAGAAACCTCCTCGTCCTTTGGATCCTTGGGGGATCCAAATCTTTGGCAGAAGGTTCTGGGGTGTCTCTGTGTGTGCGTGTTTGTGATCTGTCTGAAGGCAGTTTGCGATCTCCTTGAACAGGTTCTCAACTATTCGGTGGGAAGCAGAAATGGCGATTCTGTCAGCTTTCTTTCTCTCTTCCTCAGTTTTCAATTCATTAAGCTTAGCAACTGTGGTGATTCACTTTAATAATCACCATAAAAAGCTTCTTTCCTTCCATTGATCCATCCATCCATTCATTTTTTTCTCTATTCTCCTTCCTATTTCCTTCCTTCCTTCCTTCCTTCCTTTCATCTATCCATCTTTTTCTCTATTTTCCCTCCTTCTGCCCATCCTTTTCTCTATCCCCCTTCCTATTTCCTTCCTTCCTTCAATCCATCCATCCATCATCCTTTTCTCTATTCTCCTTCCTATTTCCTTCTATCCTTCCATCTATCCATTTTTTTCTTTATTTTCCCTCCTTCTGTCCATCCTTTTCTTTATTCTCCTTCCTATTAACTTCCTTCCCTCTTTCTTTTTCCTTCTTTCCCTTTCTCCTTCCTATTTCCTTCCTTCCTTCCTTCCTTCTTCCTTCCTCCTTCCTTCCTTCCTTCCTTCCTTCCTTCCCTCTTTCTTTTTCCTTTTTGCCTTTTCTCCTTCCTATTTCCTTCCTTCCCTCTTTCTTTTTCCTTCTTTCCCTTTCTCCTTCCTATTTCCTTCCTTCCTTCCTTCCTTCCTTCCTTCCTTCCTTCCTTCCTTCCTTCCTTCCGCTGTTTCATGTCTCCAAGGTATCTGAGAAGGCCCTTGATGAATGAGTCCTGGGCTTCAGTGTCATGTGCCGCAGCCACCCTCCCCTCTCCCAAATGGGAGCGGAAGGCAGAACAATTTTAAGAAGGACCATTAAACAAAGGAATTACCTTGGCGGTTGACAAGGAAAATAGTTCTCTCTGGAGAGTTTTCTGAATTGGATAAAACGCTGAAGAGGGAAAAGTGTGTGTGTTTTGGCTGGCTTCCTAATGCCGCCTCCAGCCTTTTCCTTCTCTTGGCCCAGCGCTGGCAATAGACTACCCTGTGTGTAGCAAGGTTTGCAAGCAGGGCCAACATCCCCGCTCAGCCTGGGAATTCAGAAGGAGCCTTGTCTGAAGCTGCCGGGCAGGGTGGAGCAGGGCAACCTCTGGAAGTTCAAGGTGACCTGGACCAAGAACTTCACTCTTTTTTTTTTTTTAATTTGATTTATATGCCGCCCTTCTCCGAAGACTCAGGTCAGCTTACAATGTGCTCAGCAATAGCCTTCATCCTTTTGTATATTTATACAAAGTCAGCTTATTGTCCCCACAACTGGGTCCTTCCTTGCTAGAAGTTTCAGCTCTCTCGCTGTTGTGGTCCACCAGCAGCCTGCGGAGCTGGCAGTGGAGTCGGAGAGTGAGGAGGCTGGGGAGGACCATGGGCCAGTCCTGGAGTCAGGGGAAGGCCCGGATGAGGGCTCTGCGTCAGAGGCAGAGATGGGGCCAGGGCCATCTGGGAGTGATGCACGGACTCCGGAGCCTCCAGAGGCGGACATCAGAGAGGCAGAGGAACAGGAGGAGCCTGTTCCTAGTCCACGCATGCACAGAGCTGCCAGAAGGCAACAGGAGCTAAAGCAAATCGGACGACTCGGGAGTACGGCCAGGAGATGATTGGCCCCTCCCATAAGGCTTAAAAGACCAGCAACGGCTCTTGGGCTCTTTGTAGGAAAGCAACATTGCTACATCTGTTTTCCAGTCGGCGTCTCTTGTTTCTGAACTTCGTGGGGCTTTGCCGAGAAAGGCCTCTCGCAGGGTGTCAAAGAAGATAAAGGTTTGGGATGAGCCCGAAGTACTTTTTCTGAAGTTGTTTTGGAATTAATTTGGACTAAACTGGGAAGGAAGTAATTCTCAGCTGTTATAATAAAATAGTTTTGTTTGAGACTAATTATGTCCTGTAATGACTAAGTGAGCCTACAAACCTTGCCAGATAGAATGAGAATCCCCCTGTCCAAAACATATATGCTAACCCCTCCCCGGTCTCTGTCTCTACAGGGTCAGATTTGCAAATATGCATCCCCAAAGCTCTCACCTGCTGCTCCCGCAAGATGGAGGAGAGATACCAAGGCTTGGCTCGTTCCAACATGGAGCAGATTCTCCAGACGGCCAGCATGGATTTGAAATTCCTCATCATGCAGAATGCGGCCCTTTTCCAAGGTAGGTGTGGTGCACAGAGGATTTGTGCTCTGGGATTCATGTCCAGCGGGTGGGGTGTCCATTGCTTATGGATTGTGGGTTCAGAATTGATCTGACCACTTCCAAAATAACAGCACGTTTTTGTATATAAATATAGGGTGGGGGGAGGAGTCCTTGGTGGCAGATGGAGAACCAAACCCAGCTTCTCCCCAGCTCCTATTTTGCAGTATTTTCCTGCTGCAATCATGGAAATGCCACAAGGCCTGAAAAAATCTAATAATCTAATAAAGTTTGCTAAGTGAACACAGTAATGGACACGCCTGGATGGCATCTCGCTAAATGCCAAGCGACTCTCCCCGATCTTCATCAGCAAAAAGTCTGATGCAGCTTCAGCGGGAAGGAAATTCAATTTGGCGCAGAAGAACATCGGTCGGACTTGGCCCTGTCACTCAAGCGGCCCCTGCGTGGGGCTGATGGAAACATCCTGAAATGAGTTGTGAAGGGCCGGCGCAGCATGTGTGCGCGTCATACGAATGGGTTCGGTGACATTTCCATACGTGGCATCAAGCGCAAGAAGTGGGGAGGGAGGAAATGGCCAGGCTGACAAGAGCTGTTTCTTAGCAGGTGAGCGGAGACCTTTCCGATTTCCTGGTGCAGCAAAAATAGCTGCCAGTTGAGATGACACAGAGGTGGGTTGAATGGGCCAAGGTTTCCCCCGGAAAGGGTTCGTGGAGTATCTTGATCTTCCATCTGTTTTGTCTCTTGAGATGACCAGTTGGGAGCTTCTTCTGTTAAGCCAGGTTCTCAACCTTGACAACTTGAAGATGGGTGGGCTTCAGCTTCCAGAATTCCCCGCCCATCTTCAAGTTGGGTGGTGTCAACTCTGAAGCTACCCTGACTGAGGCCATCTTGGAAGCTTCAGTGTTGCCACAATGGTGCTGACAGATAGGGAAGTGGGCGGGGAATAGAGATAGCTGGGGTTTTGTAGCCAAAACAGAATAGTTTTCCCTGAGAACCAAGGACATTCCCACAGGTGGCTGAAGAGGGGAGGAGTGAAGTTTCCAAGCAACCGGACAGCACCCTGATTGGACCATGTGACTGATTGTTTGGGAAAGGGGGGAAAAAACTTTTACTTTTAATTAGCTGTAAACCGCAGAAACTTTTAGAGTCGGTTTTCACCAGTCTGTGCCAATATTACACATCGAATAAACTTGTTCTTTGAGGAAACTGCTTCCCTCGGAGTTCTGTTTGCTATGGGTGCATTACTTGGAACCCTGACAAGTAATACATGCTTGAAATGCTTCCAGAATGGTGGTGGATCTCCATATCATGTGTCATCATCACCATCTTCCTAGGAGCATTTCGTTCCTTAACAGGAGCATTTCTCAACCTTGGGCTCCTTGAAGATGGGTGGACTTCAACCATCTGTCAGTTAAATGTGGCCAATTCTGACCCCGCACACATTCAAGTTATCTTGATTGAAGCCGTGGTAGCGCAGCACCGCGGTGGCGCAGTGGTTAGAGTGCAGTACTACAGGCTACTTCTGCTGATCACCGGCTGCCAGCCGTTTGGCAGTTCGAATCTCACCAGGCTCAAGGTTGACTCAGCCTTCCATCCTTCCGAGGTAGGTAAAATGAGAAGCCAGATTGTTGGGGGCAAGAGGCTGACTCTGTAAGCCACTTAGAGGGGACTGTAAAGTGGTATATAAGTCTTAAGTGCTATTGCTATCTTGAATCTCTTTGGTGGCATTTAAGCAAGGCACCTTTTCTCTGCATCTGGTAAAAGTTGGGCTGAATTATTTATTTTATTATAACAAAAAAGAACATATGAATTGTATTGGCTTTTTTCTTGGAGGGGGGCTTGAAATTTGCAGGATAAAGAAAGGGTCAGCCTTCCTATCTCAGACGTTTCCTTTTAGAGGAGAGGGGAGTGTTTCTATTTTTAAATGCAGGGAGCTATCAAAAGAATGTTCACAGCAAGGGGAAAATGCCTAAATTCTAAAAAAAAAAAGGAAATAAAAGGGGAATCACAAGATCTTCTCTGTTGATATACTGCTTTGTGCCTTAATCTGCTTAAACTCTTTTCATCTATAAATTGGAATTGGTTACATTTGTACGATATGCTGTGTCAGGATGTATAAACCCATAGTAATTTCTGAGCTGGTTAATTCCTCGTCCTCCGCTTCCTCTTCTTTCCTCCTCCTCCTCCCTTCCTCGCTCCCTCTCCCCGCTCCTCCTCCTCTTCTTCCTCCCCCCTGCTAGCTGATTCTTTTTTTCACAGGGTCTTTTCAGCGGAATGGTGGCTTAGCTGCTCTCCCTCACTCTGTTTTCTGTGCACAGTGAGACAAACACAGTGTCAACAAACAAACAGAATCGGGGAGCAGAGAGGCAAAAACTATATCTTCCTTTTCCTTGTTCTGTGTAACATGAGAGTGGAAGGATTTGTTACTCCGAGAGTAACGATATTTTGAGGCCAGTTGCAAACGGAAAGTTGTTTTTTTTTTGCTCGGCTGGAAGGGACATCGAATGGCTGCGTTGCATTTTCATTGAAAAAGAGAATGGAAGCAGAGATGACTTCAGGTGGGCTGCAGACTGGTTTGGAAAGATTAGGGTGAAGAAACATCGCGGCTGAAGTGCCATCTGTTTGTTTGAGGATAGCTTAAAGAGAGTTGGGCAATTCCCATCCAGTCAAATGGCATCTTCCCGCAGTCTATTTCCTACTGCAGCAGCAAACTCCCGTTTTCTGTAATTACTTCTCTAGGCAAGAATTATCTTCGGCAGTTTTAAGTCTGAATACATTCCGAGTGCTCAGGAAACACTATAAAAAAAATTAAAAAAAAAACGCGGCCAAGTGATTTCACTAGGCAGCTGCAAACTTCGTGCGTTACCTTCCAAAGCCGAATCGATGTTGCCACCCTCTTTTCTCGGCTGCTCCTCCGCTTTGTCTGCTCCCCTTCCCTGCCACATACCCCCCCACCCAGCATTTCCCCTGCAAACGTGTTTGCTCTCTGGTCTGAAAGGGATTAAAGGAGGAAATAAATTCTCTTTTGACTATGTGCCGGAGTATTTACAAATGCAGAGAAGAAAACAGTTGGTAAACATGAGGAAAGCATAGCAAGCAGACCAAGTCAAGGACAAGACGGGTTGATATAAAACAAACATTCCCTCATACCCCCACCCATACCCTCCCACTCCTGCGATGGGCTTGGCTTTCAAAGCCCCTGTGAGATGAAACGATAAAACAGGCAAGGTTGTTTCTGAGGCTGCTAGAGAGAGAGAGAGAGAGATGAGCTTTTCCTGAGCCCATTAAGCTGTCAATACCCGCTGATTCTACGTCCTTGCTGACAAAACCGGGGCGGCTGTTATTCACCCTATTGACACTTGCCAATGATGGAAGCTCCATCCAGCCATCCGTAATGGTGCCAGGTGCCTCTGGAGGAGTCGTATTAATCTGTCTCTCAGAAGAAATGGCTGAGGGAGCCAAGGGCCCTGCGTCCTGGCACGTGCAAGTCGAAAATTGGCTTCGGCAACGAAGGCCGAATTCACGCCGAGTTTGTAAGCCGGGCTTTGCGAGCCTTGGCGATGGTTGAAGACGGAGCTTTGAAGTCTTCCCTGGTGTGTCAGTTCCTATTTATGCCTGTAAAATTTATGTCTGATGCTCAAAAGTCTCCCTCGGTGGGAATACGCGGGACTTCTCGTTCTTCCGGCTTCTCTTTCCCGAACGATGCTGCGAATTAAGGAGAAACTTCCTAACAGCGAGGACAATTAACCAGTGGAACAGCTGGCCACCAGAAGTTGCGGACGATTCATCCTTGGAGGTTTTTAAAGAAACGATTGGACAGCCACTTGCCTGAAATGGTATATAGGATCTCCTGCTCGAGCAGAGGGCTGGACTAGAAGACCTCCAAGGTCCCTTCCGGCTCTGTTCTGAATTCTAAAGGTCCCAGTTCAGTGGTGAAATCCAAATTTTTTTACTACTGGTTGCGTGGCTTGGTGGGCGTGGCAGGGGAAGGATACTGCAAAATCTCCATTCCCTTCCCACTCCTGGGACCAGCCAGAGGTGGTATTTGCCAGTTCTCCGAACTACTCAAAATCTCCGCTACCGGTTCTTCGAACTGCTCAAAGTTTCTGCTACCGGTTCGCCAGAACCTGTCAGAACCTGCTGGGTTTCACCCCTGTCCCAGTTCCCTTTCTTCTGATTTCTTCTGGGCCGTGGTGCCTGCCGATCTTCATTTTTCCTGGCAACCCTCCTGTAGCAGCAGATGGGCCTTTTCAACCCTTGCCCCTCTGAAGCGCCCCAGGGAGATTCTGCATGTCCAGCCGAGCCCCCACTAGCCCAACCCCAGGGACGAGCCAGCCCGAGTTCCCCCCATTTCTGCAAATGGAGCCTTGGACCAGCCCCTGCTTCCCACAGCCCCCTGTGCGAAAACACACAGGCCCTCAGGCTGGGCAGGGTGTGATTGTGTGTGTGTGTGTGTGTGTTTATCTAAGGTGGAGCCTGGAAGAGACGTGAGACCACTTGGAGGTCGGCTGGCAGCAGCGCCAAGGGACGGGCAGCTGATCTTCCGTCTGGCTCTCTAATCAAAGCTCTTGAGGGATTCCTGAAATGCCGGAAGGGAAGGGGAGCAGGGATCGTCCAGAGGGGCCTGGGTAGTCTCTGCCTGCCAGAGAGGAGGGGGCACAGATGGGAATGAGGGGTGGGGAAACCACGGCCGCCTTCCTCTGAGCTCAGCCCCTTATTTCTGCAGTTTTATTGTGGGTTTTTTCCCCCCCTTGACATGCCAGAAACCATTTTGCTCTTTGCACTTTTAGCGTGTGTGGCTCATCCTGGCGGATTTCCCCCAGGGGGTCTTTGGTTAGGGGGCTTTTCATACCCGTCTCCCTGTCTCCATTAAGCAGCCCCCTGGATAAGCAGCTCCTGGAGGGGAGGGGAGGGAGATCAAGGCTCTGGTGCTCCTGGAGAACATTTTCCACAGTCTGGTTCTTTCAAGAAGGAAGAAGATGCTACAAACCGCTTTTATT